CTACCTCTGAGAGAGACACATAATTGCCAGTTGGTCAGAGAGGAAACACTGTTTCAGAGAGGAAACACTGTTACTGAGTTCTTGGTAAAAGAAATGTTCGTCAGGAAGCTCTAGGAAATCAGGTTTGTGCTTGATCCTAGAGAGATTAATGTTAGTATTTTCTAATAGTTCATATAAACCAATATTTGAACACCTTGGATTAATAAAGTTTGAGCATTGTGAAGTGGAAGTCTAATTAGTGTTTCTGTCCCATTAGTTAGCATGAGTAATGGTAAATTATTTTATACATGTACCATGCACTACAAAGGCTCACCTACTTCTCAAAGCTTTTCATAATAAACAAATAAATAATAAATATATATTTAAATAAAAGATAAGTAATAGATAACTAGATACATAAATAAAGCAGCCATAACAAATGATGATTTATTCTTTAAATTGTCCATGTACCACACAATCTCATAGTGCAGGTATGTTGACTTTTGCTGCTCTTGAATTTCTGTGTGTGTGTGTGTGTGTGTGTGTGTGTGTGTGTGTGTACTACTTTTCTCTCTAACTACTTTAAAAGGCCCTTAGGGGAAGGGATTATTTCTGTTTCATTTATATCTTTCACACACCTGGAACTATTCAGGGAATACTGTTACTGTATATGCATAAAACTTTTATAAATAGGTGCTATGGGGCACCTCAGAGGTTAAATGACTTGCCCAGGGTCACACAGCCTGTACAGCTCAGAGGCAGTATTTGAACCCAAGTCTGCCTAACTGAGAACCTGGGTTTCTAACCCATCAAACTACATTGCCTTTCTAAAAGCCTTAGTTGAAGAGTCTGTGTTAATATGCATTGGTATAAGAAGTTTTCATACTGGGAGTTACCTATATGAATTAAATCAGTCTCTCTCTCTCTCTCTCTCTCTCTCTCTCTCTTCTCTCTCTCTCTCTCTCTCTCACACACACACACACACACACACACACACACACACACATAATTACACAAAAGCATGTGGAATGGAATTTCATGGCTAAATGAAGGCAGATGATGAATCCTCAGGTGATTTGAACAGTCACTTTCTAATTTAAAGTTGTAGTCCTAGGTTTTTTCCCTACATCAGATTTTCTCCAAGGGATCACACCTACACAAGGCAGGCTGGACAGACTCCTATAATACCAAGGCTAGTTTCCTTGATCAGGACCCCACAGCCACCGCATCTTTACCCATAGAAGAGCGAGACGTAATGAGGTGCTATGCAGTGAGGTTAGGGCCACTGAATAGACAAGATAATCTTATTTTCCAGGAAGTTGCAAGGAACTGAGGTTCCTGTGATTCAGCTATTACTCCTCTTTTTACCACGGTCCATGGGATAAAGTCAGTAAAATCTCCAAGGCCAAGTGAGGAAAATGTCATCCTGAATAAACATGCAAATGAAACAATAAATGAGCAGTCCATACACCAGGTGTTCTATAGATTCTCTCCTAAATATACCAAACTGTCCATGAGTAGTTTTTTTCCAAATCCCAATGCCTGTTTCAGAAACATCATCCCAATTTTGACATCAAGACAGAGCCATTTATAATTTCCACCTCATCACTTGTAATGGTCACCGTGGTAACAAAAGTCCCTTCTTCTCCAAGTACCAGATGTTGCTTTTTGAAAAGACTGATTTAATACTGATTCACTTATGGTACCTCTTGAAATAGTTTGTTTGTTGATCAAAATGCATTTACATGGGATATATTTTAAAGCAAGCCAAAGATCTTTTCCAGAAACAAAACACAAAAGTAAACGTCAATTCCTAGATCAACAGCTCACACATGCTCCATACAAATGCTATAAATCAGTACATAAAGTTTTAAAGTGCTCAATAAAAACTTAATAGTTTGCTGACATGCTTATTTCCAATTTCCTGGTGTAGTTAATTTCCAGAGTATCCAGACACATGTGGAAACAATGCCCTTTAAACATTGCCAAATGTTTATGTCCAAGGAACATAGCTTGTCTGAGCTATTCAAAAGATAAACAATAAATCAAGATGACACAGGGAGGGGGGTGAATAGGTTTGTGCATAAGGCAAACAGTCTGTTTCTTCCCACAAAAACAACTTGAAAAAATAGCAAAAGGATGAGTTTCCAGAATTTTTAAAAAATTATTTAAGAGGTTTTTTTTTCTAATTTAGGTGCTGTTGCCAAAATCAGTATTCACCAAAATATTTTTTAACCAAGGAACAGATTGTGTAATTGTTTTGTATGTGAAATACTCTCACTCTAATATGTTGCAATAATTTGTATTTTCTTTGGGACTTAGACCTTAAAACTCTGAAATCACACAACTTCCACACAAAAGATAAATTGGAATAATTGGACAGGATTGATACTGTGCACCCCTCCCCCACCATCTCTACCATTGGCAGAGGGTTAAAGCAACCATCAACAAATTAGACCAGTTAGATTTTTCAGTCTTGGGGCAACACATCTGTGACCATGCTAACATGGTAGAAGGCATAAAAAGTCAAAATACAATGGGGGAAAAGAAAGACACAAATTCCCTTTGACTCAAAAATTCAGCTATTGTGCATATATCTCAAGGAATCAATAACAGTTCTATGTATACAAAAAGAAGTATTTTGACATAAAAAAACTCGAAATAAAGTGAGTATTCATACATTTGGAAATCACTAAATAAATTGTGTATGTGAATGTAATGACATCATTGTACCATACATAATGAGGAATATAAGAAACTCAGAGAAACATCAAAAGACATGTGCAAATTAATACAGAGAGAAATGAGCAGATGCAAGCAAACATACATAGACCGTCATCACATATTCAGAGATTTAGAGCTGACAGGAATTTAGAGCTTATCTAACCTAACCCCCTAAGTTTGAAGATGAAGAATGGAGCCCCAGAGTTTAAGGGATTTGTTCAATACCACACAGGTAGTTAGTGGCAGATGTGGAATTTGAGTCCAAGTTGTTTCATCACATTGTATATAGCCACAAGCACAAGGACAACAGTATTATAAAAGTAACACCAGTAAATTCAGATCAATGGAATAATGGGCTTCATAGGAGGAATGTTGAAGCAAACCTCTCTCCTCTTGGTAGAGAGATGGTAGACTACAGGTATGGAATGAAGTACATGTTCTCAGAAATTGTCAGTGTTTCAGTTGGTTTTGCTTTGCTGTATTTCTTTATTACCACAAATGGTCTATTGGAATGTGGTGGCATTGGGAAATGATGATGTAAAAAAGCACTAAAAAACAAACAAAACAAAACAAAACCAAAAAACAGCCATATTGAACAAGTGGATAAAATGGGAAATAATACTACAAGCATCTACTTCCACACTTTAGTTACTAGTACAAACTGATAGAAGAAAAATGCAATCATTTGCTAAGATAATCCCTATATTTGACAGTAAGGAAGAAAAAGATTTCAGAAAAAGTATCACAGTAAATCTGAAGTCTTGACCTGAATTTTACTTGAGCCTTGAGCATGTTTAAAATTCTAACAATCAAACCATGGCAGTTAGATAAAAGTGTCTGATTAAAGATGGGAAAAAACAATTTCTTCAAAATATATGCCAACACACTTTGCTAAGGACTTGGGGACTTTATGTTTCTCATGTGCTATGCCTTATAGCAGACCATGTTCATTTTTCTATACAGGAAAGCAAGGTGAAAGAAGACAATTATAGTTAAAAAAAAAAAAGCTTGGTTTATAACAATATACAAAGTCAAGTAAGGATTTAATACAATTATCCAGATAGCTTAAGCCAAAATCATATTTTAACCCAGAGCTCAGATTCAAATCAATAAAAGCAAGACAAATGTTGCAAAGTCACTTCAGTTGATATGAATGCAACATAGTGATAATTTGTGGAAACCAAATCAAATTGACAATGGTATTTATCAATTCCTGATGTGTCCACATCACTGTTGACTCATGTGTAGATGAATTGTATCATCATGCTGTTTGCTGCATATAAACATTATGTACAAACTGAAAGTTAAATTATCTTTGTGTATAATTAAAAGTACTATTATATATTTCTTAGCTTCATCTATTTGGATAAGTACAACAATAATAATAATTACGGTTTTTACCTGTATTTTAAAAATAAAAACATTCAGACTAGTTATAGATAATCATTTGAAATCTTCAAAAATTAGGTTCAAACTTAATGTCTTAATTTTTTATCATCTCTCCTTTTAAAATAAATGAAATAAACTCCATTCACAAATGATAAATATATAACTGGTTTGAAAATAAATCCAGTGAAGTAGCTGAAACTAATACCATTTTATATAAAATACAATAAATGGTGAAAAATTTGGCACTTAGGATTCATTTTACTTTACCGTGATTCAAAAAAATCCAATTAATAGTATGGACTTCAGTGCCCCATTCAAATTACTTTATTTATAAAGATTCCCATACTCAACCTAGTCAGAAAACTTCTGTAATAGTAGACATTTATGTGGTGCTTTAAAGTTTGTAAAGCACCTTATATATACTATCTTATTTGAGCCTTACAACTGCTCTGTAAAGTAAGGACTAGATGGGGAAACTGGGGCAGAGAGAAATTAAGCATTTGATCTAACATCACATAACTAGCAAGTACCAGAATTGAATTTCAAGTCCAAATTTCCTGACTCCAAATCCAACATCCTTTCCAATCTGTAGCTTACATTTGGACCATCACTTCTCCCTGTGAGATTCCTGCAGAGAGCATTGATTTGAGTTTTGTGGGAAATCAGTGGACATAATATTCACTTGAGACATGGACTGCAGATCAGAAATCTGCCCCAGTGCTAGAAAAATAATTTTAACTTGGGATTGTGAATTGATTGGTAAGGTCCATTGGCTGTTCCCAGATGCAGAGACTAGTGTGGGCTTTTATCAGAGATGCAAGTGGAATCTGGGAGCACAGCTTAACCTTCTTTCTAGAAATCATTTGTATTTACTTATTTTAAAAGAATAATTAAAAAATGTCACTTACACATTTCTCTTCATCCCTGCCATACGTGATTCTTGCTTCCTCTGAATTTTTGTAACATTATTTATACATTTTAAACTCTCTTGATAATATTTCTTGTTGTTTATGCACAACTATCTCCTCTTCTAGATTGGTAGTCCTTTAAGGGCAGATGGGATGTCTTAATCATCCTTTTATCCTGAATAGTACTAGGCTCAGTGTTGTGTGCAGATTAGGTAATAAGTGCTTGCTAAACAGTTGTGGAATTTAAACTCCAACACGACTTCTGATAAAGGTTCATAACTGAACTAGTAGATGTAAACTATTGAACACATAGTTCCTAGGTGCCATTGTTTTTCAACACGTAGTTTTGTAGAATAAATCTCAATTTTTTCATCTTTCTTCCTGCCTAATTGTTCCAGCAGAGACTAAGCAACAGGTGGTAAATAGTAGGAAAGAAAGACTCCCCAGACTAGTAACAGTGAGAAAGCACTGCAAACCACTGCAAGTCTGAGAGTGTTTCAAGGTTTATTTTCTTTCTCAAGGCTGCAAATGCATGAGTAGAACAATTCCAATGGAAGGCCAGAATTCCTGCAAAATAAAACACCATTCTTAGGAATTAGAAGAGGAAGGATCCTTATAAATCATCTTGTCCAATTCTCTCATCCTTCATCTGTAGGTAAGAAGACAGAAGGTCAGAGACATCAAGCCAAGATCATGAACAAAGCCAGTGGTTTGAACCCAACTTCTCTGTCTCCAAAACTTACACTTACTTGACTAGGTGTTGCTATCAATTTCTGCCACTCTAGCTTTTACTATAAATCCATCCTCACCAAGGGTATTCTACTATGCCCTAATCAGTATCTTCTTAACTCAAATTTAAATAGCGTTTTACATTATGCCATTGCCCTAGTATTTCTCTCAGGAAACAAAAACCTCATCTAATCCATTGTAGTTCCAAGGCAAAATGTTTCTAGTGGTCACTAGTTGAGGGACCAAGCAGGCCAAGTGGCTTTACTGAATAACTTTACTGACTACTACTTATTTTTGAGGCTAAGGAAATTTAGTTAAGTTAGTGTGGAAAGAACCATAACTGTAAAACCTTTGTCAATACCATCTGAAGAACGGTAGTAACAAGATGAAATGTTCTTGATTTGGAGTGTCCTGATTTTCATACAGGAAAATTCTGTAGACTGAATCTGTGTTGATGCCTAGAAAAATTTTGGAAGGGATAATTGAAGGGACAGTCTGTCAGCAATTAAAAAAGGAAGTAGTGATCTCTATGATACAATGTGGATTCAATAAAAACATGTCCTGTAAAAATAATCTCATTTTCTTTTTTTTTTGTTAGTTTTTAGCCCAATGGGTTAGGAAAATGCCATAGACACATAGAGCACTTGAATGTCAGCAAAGCACTCTCATGCCATCATCATGAACAAGATGGAAATATGTGAGCTTAATGATATAACATTTAGTTGGATTTTAAAATTGTTTAGGTGATTTTATGTGGTTCTGCTTTCTCCCCCTTTCCTTAAAAGAAATATTCAGGGGAAAGGCAGGTAGGAGAGAAGAGTATAATCATTCTGCTATACCCAACTATTCCCATTAGATTTTACCTAAATCAAAAAGCCCCAACTTTCTCATTAAGGTGTTCCCTCTCTAACAAACCCTAAATAGCCCAATTCTCTGTATACTAAGCATACCTTGTTTATTGATATTACCTAGGTACCAAACTACTTCTTTATTTTTTTACTGCAGAAAAAATATCTTTCAGGCCATTCAATATTACATATTTAGAGATGAATGAAGCCCAAGTGATAATCAAATGTATTCTTTCCCTTTTCTCAGGTGAGGGAACTGAGGCCCAGGAGGGAGGTAAGCACGCACATCATTTGATGCAACTAGTCTTAAAGGTAGAACCACGTTTCATATTCTTTTCATTGTTTGAAAAGTCTTTAGAATGCTAAGAACATTGACAACAAAGATAGAAAAAAGGACAGTGCATACATAGTTTAGAAATGGTGGCCACAAAGTGATGTGTGGAGGCCTGGTTCTAGACAAAATAAGGTGAAAGCTAACCTATCAGAGCCCAGGGTAGTTCCCCCAGGGGGAGAAGGAAGATGAGAATACAGGCAGAATGATTCCTTTCAAGATAAGACAAAAGCTAATTTACCAGATCCCAGGACAGTGACTATGTATTAAGCGTCAGAGGCAAATTTGAATCAAAGTCTTCCTGATTCTAAGTCCAGTGTTCTATCCACTATGCCAAACCAATTCTAAATTAAGTAGAGTGGGATAATTTGGTATTTAACATTGAATTCCACAGAAATTATTCAAAGAATTTAATGGAATTAATTGGGAAATTTTAATAGCCATAATGATTTTGAAAATAGGCTTCTGAAGTCCTTTGTGCCACAAAATATGCACTAGTCCCATTTGCATTTTCTAGTGCATATTATCTTCTCCTTTTACAAGTTCCCTCATAGACAAAAGAATAATGCCACCCACCTACTGTAAATATGCTTAGATCAATGTCAACATGACGGCAAGCAACCCATATTTTCATAAAGTATTAATAGTGTTTTCAGATGTGGATATAAAGTCCTTAACCTGAAAGATTAGTTCTGCCTTACAAAATACTTCATCATTCATCCATCCATCCATCCATCCATTCATTTATTCATTCAACATATGCTTTTTTTTTTGGATGAGACAATGGGGTTAAGTGACTTGCCCAGGGTCACACAGCTAGTGAGTGCTATGTGTATGAGGCCGGATTTGAACTCAGGACCTCCTGACTCCAAGGCCTGTGCTCTACCCACTACGCCACAAAGCTGCCCTTAATATATACTTTTTTTGAGCCTACCTGTGTGTTAGATCTTGAGAGGGGTATAAGATAATAGAAGATACATTCCTCACTTCCCAAAAGTATCTAATGTGGCTGGGAAACAACAGAAATTAAGCCTCTGAAGCAATAATATATAATCACTGAAACATTTAAAATGTAAGATGTTAGAGATCATCTGAAACACTGCATGTAAAATGTTTATGTCAGTCAATCAATAAGAACATATTAGGCACTTATTATGAACCAGGCATTTTGTTAAGTGCTAGAGATGCAAGGAAAGGCAAAGATAAAGTCTCCCCTCAAGGAGCTGGCATCCTTAAGAGGGAGATAACATATTAATCACTAGGTATGTAACAAGGTAGATAATAAGTACATAGAACCATAATGCTGTGGTTACTGATCTAGAGCCAGACATCATGGAGAATGAAGTCAAGTGGACCTCAGGAAGCATAGTGGTAACAATAAGGCTAAGGGAGGTGACAGAATCCCAGTGGAGCTATTTAAAATCCTAAAAGATGTTGCTATTAAAGTGTTACACTCAAGATGCCAGAAAATTTGGAAAACTGTTTAGTCTTGATCCTAAAGGAGGGCAGTTCCAAGGAAGGTTCAAATCACTGAACAATTGCACTCATTTCATATGCCAGCAAGGTTATACTTAAGATTCTGCAAACTAGGCTTCAGCAATAGGTGAACTGAGAATTACCAGAGGAGCAGGTGGAACTAGAGACCAAATTGCCAGCATTTGCTGAATTACGAAGAAAGCAAGGGAGTTCTAGAAAAAAAAATATTTACTTCTGCTTCGTTGACTACACTAAAGCTTTTGACTGTCTGGATCACAATAAAATGTGGCAAGTCCTCAAAGAGATGAGAATATCAGACCATCTTAATTGTCTCTTGAGGAACCATATGCAGACCTAGAAGCAAGAGCTAGGGCCAAGGGCAGCTAAGTGGCACAGTGGATAGAGCACCGGCCCTGGATTCAGGAGGACCTGAGTTCAAATCCAGCCTCAGACATATAACACTTATTAGCTGTGTGACCCTGGGCAAGTCTCTTAACACCACTGCTTAACCAAAAAGAAAAAATAAGTTAGGACAAAAAACGGAACAATTAATTGGTTTAAGATTGGGAAAGGAGTACCACAAAGCTGTGTGTTGTCACCTTAATTATTTCATTTACATAGAGAGTACAGCATGCATAATGTCAGGCTGGGTGAATTAAAAGCTAGAATTAAGGTTGCAAGGCAGGGGAAAACATCAGCAGTCTCAGATATGTGTATGATACCATTCTAATGGCAGAAAGTAAAGAAGAGTTAAGAAGCCTCTTGATGAGAATGAAAGAGGAGAGTGTAAAAGTTGACTCTCAGTTTAATATAAAAAAAAATAGGAGTTTGTCAACTGGTTCCATCGTTTCCTGGCAATTAATAGAGGGAGAAGGAGTGGAAGCAGAGTCAGATTTTATATTCTTAGGCTCAAAGGTCATTGCTGATGACTATTGCAGACATGAAACTAATACGTCTCCTCCTTAGAAGGAAAGGTATGGCAAATCTGGATAGCATATTTAAAAAGCAGAGATATCACTTTACCAACAAAGGTCCATATAGTCAAAGCTATGGTTTTTCCAGTAGCATATACAACTGTGCAAGTTGTACTATAATGAAAGCTGAGTGCTGCAGAATCAACATTTTCTAATTGTAGTGCTAGAGAAGACTTTTGGGAGTCCCTTGGATAGCAAGGAAATCAAATCAGTCAGTACTTAAAAGAAATTAATTCAGGCTATTCACCAGAAGGTCAAATAATGAAACTGCAGCTCAAATACTTTGTCCACATAATGAAAAGACAGGACTCATTGGAAAAGACCCTGATGCTGGGAAAGATTGAGAGCAAGAGGAAAAAGCTACAGCACAGGATGAGATGGAAATAATGAACATAAACTTGGACAGACTTTGAAAGACAGTGTTTATAAGGGCCTGGGGTGCTATGGTCATTGGAGTCACAAAGAATAAGACATGACTGAATGACTGGATAATAACAACAGCAACAACAAAAATGTGCCTGGCACTGTCTTGAGCAGTTTAAAATTATTATCTCATTTAATCCTCAAAACAAGGAGGTGGATGGTATTGTTATCACCATTTTATAGATGAGGAAACTGAAGCAAAGAGATTAAGTGACTTGCCCAAGAACCCCCAGCTAGTAAATGTCTATGGTCTTATTCAAATTCTGATCTTCCTGACTCCACGCCCAGCATTCTACGCACTATGGTGCCACCCAGATGCCACTATTCCGACTGACCACTGT